TTTTGATTTAGTATGACTGATTGGCAATATTCCATTCATAAAAGTCTGCATCTTCTCATTTTTAGAAAGTTTATTAAATTGCATGCAGAGAATTTTTAGGTTTCTTGACACTAATTTGGTTAATGCTTTGTAAATCATCATGTTTTTAAGCTTTATTATTGATTGATATGTTTATTTTTTTAAGTTTAAATTAGTATCTCATCTATACGATATAACTAAAGTTTCAATGCCATCAGGCTTCTAGACTACCTTTAAGCTTTTTGTAGTAATCTTAAGGGCATATAAAATACATATTAGTCATGTATGTATCCTGAATGAACTTAAAAAATAGTCTTACATAAAAGGATATTTAATAAAGGAAATGATTGTAATATTTTCTTTGGTTTTTAAAAACACCTGTATTTTTCATCTACATTGTGTTTGAAAAGCAAATACAGAATGATATGTATTGTTCAAAAATTTCTTTGCTTAATTAAGATTGTGTACTGGTAAATTTCTAACTTGCATTTACATGTATACTGATATTTTGTTCTGAAATATTACAACAGTGGCTCTCATTCTTTATTGACCCATTTCCCTCTTCTGAAGTTCTCCCTCCTTTGACTTGAATTCAAATAATACCTAAAATTGAAATTTTTTACTTTGATATGCTCTAAAAAGTAATTTAATTTTAGGATTTATTGTGTTATAAGAATTTATACAAATTAAATAATATATTTAATAGCTTTTTGTACTGATTTTGTTACACATATATAATGCTTAAATATAATTGTTTTCAATTGCTTTCCTGTACCTTTTGTCACAATCTGAATTAACAAATTTAATGTTGAGCAATCCCTCTCTTCTGCTGTTGTGAATTTCCTTCCTTTAGGAGCAAGGGGGATTTCCCTAACAGTTGAGAACATCCATGTGAAAAAAAATACTTAGGACTAGATTTTAATGTAATGTTTTTTAGATAGTAACTCATATTTCTTTTGTTACAATTTATTTACTTGTGTCATAAAAATCTATATCAAATGAACCAATTTTGTACATAAATTTTAAGTACAAATTCACTTTGGGACTTTTTTTATGCAGTAATTATATTCTTTATAATTCTGCTGTTGTGGAACATTGTCTATGAAAGCATTCTCTAACTGAACTTTAATTCCTTTTATGTTTTGCCTTTATATTTGAGGAATGGAAATACTCTGTTTAATACTTACTGAATATAGGCTACTTGTTTTATAAAACTGATGTACAATTGCACAAATAATTGTTTTTAAATATATGAATATGAAATGTTGGAAGTGTGTCATGTGCTTTACTTTTGTCTGTGTTCGTAGTCTGTCTTGTGTAACTTATTTATTGATGTTTAAGAGGTGTTGGGCATCATGTATATGTCATTTTCTTCATTTTTGGTGTGGACACTTGTTATGAACTTGAATAATCAGAAGCTTTACTTTAAAATGTGATATTTCAGGTCTCAGGTAAAAGCTAATAATTTATTTTTGTATGACGTTAAAATGATACATTGTGAATCATCTATGAAAACATTTAAGTTAATAAATATTTTATCTTATAAACCTTTCTGTGCTTTATCTCTCGTCATACTTGCTTACATATCATGTCTGTTTCCAGGAATTTAATATTTAAAAATAAATTTTAAAGTATCGGATTTCGTTATGAGTAGGCTAGTTTGAAATTAACTGATTAAAGACTTCAAAATAGTGATTGTGTGCAAATTTGAAAAAAACATGAGTATAGTTTATAAAACAGACAAAATGTCATAAGATCTCTGATATTAAGGTTTGAAATATGGTTGCTGCAATTGTAGTTACAAATACCTAACTCATCTGAGGTCATAAACTGTTTCAATTAATTTAACTATTGCTGTTATATTTTAATCTTATTACAAAAAATTTTATTTTTTTAAATCTTGGATTAATAAGCTTCTCTTAGTGTGGTAATATCTTTCTTCAAATATTATAGGCTTGAAAAATGCATCTAATTTAATTAAAATATTAATTTTTAATATATAATTTATATGTAATTATGCATTCATATGCATTATAATTAGTTTTAGTAATATAGTCATGGTCTTTGAAATTGGTCAAACGTAGAAACATTATAAAAATGGTCAAACATTTAAGAAACTGTAGAAAATATTGTCAGTTTCTGCTTAAGTAATGTTAAGTATTTAATTTATTTTTTATATGGTTGAAATAAGAGTTCTATCTTTATTATTCAGAAAAATACTTACACAGTTTACGATTATTATAATGACACTTCGCATCCAAAAGAAGTGGCATGACAGGTGGTCGCTAAAGCAGAAATAGATTTAGTATACTATCACCAATTGCCGAAATTTGAACTTTTTAAAGAACACATAAGACTCATAACAAGTAACTATTTCCTTTATTATTTAGTAAACACTGACAACGAAAATAATTGTAAGATCCTTTAACTGTGTGCTTTTTTAATTACAGTTGAATGTGAAGAATCTTGAGAACTAGTAAGTGAATAATCGCTCGTGTTCGTGAGACAATAATTAAAGCTTGGAAAGGGTTAAAAAACCCTTTATTATTCAAATAAGATTTAACAGAACTCCATCTTGGAGTTTTACAATAAAGCCGACACTCGGGTTTGAACTTATGAAACTAAGAATTAAAACTTAACTCATCTTAACTAAAAAGATATAGCCAAAGCTATCAAGATTCTAACAGAGTTGGCCCCTTAATGATAATTGACTGCGATACTATTAAGGGCCTAAAGTACGGCCGAGCGTAATTATTGCTTAAGAGAGAGCAGCCTATAAAGGCAGACTCATGCTAGCTGGACTCTCTGGTTCTCTCTGACTAAGACAGTAGAACTTCACAGTTAAATACCGCTCTTCTAAATGCATTCAACTCAATTTGCATTCAAACGTGATTCTAAAACTACATTCTGGCCGGAAGTGGTAAGTTGAAATTAAGAAGCGATAGGAAAGAAAGTTTATCTCAAAATTTAACTTTTAATGTAACATAATTCTTACACAGTATATGAAATTTTAGAGAAATTACTTATTTCACATGAATTTGAAGTGAAATTAATAAAAAAAGTATTTTAGTTATTGTGGATGTTGTAAACATTTATTTTCCTCGGAAATAATGAATGTTCCGTCTCAAAGGTAAGTAATTTTTTGTATTTTCTTTCTTTCCCCCTCCTCCACCTCCCCAAAAAAATTAAGTGTCCGAATTTGGAATATTTTGTTAGACATCAGCAGTAGTTAAATATCTTTATTCTTTGATAATTGTAATTCATTTCTGTGCGCCGTAGCAGAACACCCCATTTGCGATCAGATTGCTCATACGTTCTATATTATCTTGTTATAACAGAATCATCAAACACCAGTTTCCCCTTAAAACTCATATTTTCAGAAATTTCCAGCTACGTTTACTCTTCATCGAACTTTTCAATATCTAACATTTCATCAGCTGATTTTGAAAGCTCAAGGACAGAAGCAGTTGTAGTTTTATTTATGTTGTAACTGTTTTTAGCACTGCTTTGGAAAGAGAGATAGTACTATAGGAATATTCATTTTGTAAATTTTATTGTTAACTGATATGATTTTCCTCAAGAGTCCCACAACTGCGTAACTTACCCTTTGGTTGAAATCCTAAAAAATAGGTGTTTGGTGGCACATATTTTATGTTTATGAATTTCAAATCGATAATGACTGTTTTCCTAGGTATTTGTCATTTATCATATTCAAACAACACAGCCAATGCTCAAATAGGCTTGCCTTCATTCGCGATTGAGGTAAATTACTGGTAAGGTTTTCTAATTCCTTTAAACCACCTAGAATTTCTCGATATACCGCTCACTAAAAGTGAAAGTTTGTCAGTATTTGACTTACATGCAGTGGGAGAGCTGTTAGTCTTTGCTTAGATTTATTCTATTCATCTATTTAGTTTTTGGTCTCTTTGAAACTAAAGATATGAAAGTTTATCATCTTAAAAAGAGTCTTTCCAGTGTGCTTGTGTTACATGTAAGATATACTTTAAATTTACTTCATTTTCATTGGGGGCCCACCAGCGGCCGAGCGGTAAAGTCGCTGAACACTGGTAGTTCGGTCCGAGGTTCGAATCCCGTGAACAGGCTGGCTGCATGGGCGTTTTCGTGGTTTTCCCCATCTGTAACGTGTATACGAGCCAGCTTCCCTTAGAAAGTCCTCCACGAAAGGCATCCCTCCCTTTAGGCAGATGGCCCTCGAGGCTTTGCCATAATCCCACGCACACATCATTTTCATTGGCGATACAGTAAAAATCTGTGTTACCTCAGTAAAGCGTTAATAGTTCTAAATTTTTAGCTCAATTAAAAGAAAACGCTAAGTCTTCAAGTTTCTTTATGTGCACTTTCTTGCTGAATGTGAAAAGATAGCACATCACGGATGTGGGAGATGACGACGGCTTTCGCTTTCTTATTGTTGCAGTCTTGATATCAAGTTGAAGGCTTCGAACTTAAAATCTGAATATGTTAATGCCATACTTTCTGACCCCCCCCCGATGAGCGAGTTTTCTACTGATGCCTTATGGAGTAGAGTGAATGCTTCATTACTTTCTTCAGTTTGTTCTTTTGTACATTCATTGGCTATATTTTTTCTGTCTTTCCCCACAAAACGTTCGGGAAAAAAAGATCACGTCAACTACAATGCCAAACGCATAAATCCATATGAAGTTTAAAATGTATTATCGATGTATCTTCCCCCCCCGTATAAATTTGATCTAAACATGTGTCTGTCTATTAGAATATTTTTGGATCACATTAATTTTATCATTCATGGAAAATGTTCCATCAGGTTGACCATATTTTTGAACACTTTAGGTAGTCAGACCTCGTCATCCTTTGCCATAATTCAATCTATTTGCTGAAACCAGGGCCTGCAGCACAGTCACGTCCGAGCTACTAAAAGAGGCACTGATAGACGGTTTGTAATCATTTCAGTTTTTATTTATTACGATTCTGTAACGAAGGCATAATTAGTTGATAAGCACATTTTCTGTGTGGACCAGCTGCCTTTTTGAAGGAGGCAAGTTAGTCTACAAAGAAATAATTACAGAAATTAAAACAGAAAAAGTGCAGTTTTTGAAAGTGTACTTAACACCCATATTTTCATCGTGGAATGAAATCTCTCCACCGAATTAGACTGGGAGTGGTGTACCGAATTATGACTAATACACGTTTAAAAATTTCGGTTCATAAATAAAGTGCTCATAAATAAAGTCCCTGAATTGCTTTAGTAAAACCCATTTGCTGAAAAGATTTAACAACGCATCTACTATTGTAACGGGAGCGATATCTTCTATTGAAATAGCTTTCGGGTACTTGGACAATAAAGAATGTGTGGTTAGTATACATTTCTTGCCTCTAGGCTTGGTGGGCAAAGGTCTGCTTTTTTCCTGTCGATAGGTTTTCCCTCTCTTTGACAAGGATCACAAGTTCGAATATACGCTTCCATTTCTTGACATTTGGGCTATAAAATTATCTTGCGAGATGATCTTTCGACTTTGTTACTCCCAGATGTCCAGACACCTGCCCATGGCATAAACTTAATACTTTTGTCCGACAAGTTTTGGGAACGAGTAATAATTTCCGCACATTTCCTAAGCGGTCTTCTTGACATTTATATAGCAATCCGTTTTCAGGCTTGCAAACAATTTTTGAAGATCTAGTTTGAGTGTCTAACGCCGCTATGTCAAAAGGTGGTTTTAAGTCCTCACTTTCTCTTTTCAAGTTTAACAACTGAGTTTTTTCTATCAAAGGAAGGGGTAGTTTATACACCTTTGCATCGAGCAGGAGCAATATTGCGTCCCTCAGTTCTTTTGTTCGGACGAAAAGTTGGTTTCTTTTTTATCGAGAGCCGAAATTTCCTCTGCGGCTATAAACTTCTCATTTTCACTTTTTTCCTGGCACTTTTCCGCGTTTACAGTTTTAGACTGATGGAGTTTCTGAGCGTTTTCCTGAGAGAAAGGTCCCTCGAGCTTATTTTTTTCCTGTTTTTGCAACCGTCCGGTTTCTACCACATAGCGCCCCTTGGTCAAGCTCGTTTCGAATGAGAAGCTGCCTTTGTTATTATTCGTCCAAATTCACCTTCAATCTCGACATGTGCTAAAGGTAAGCAGATCGGCGTCTCATCAAAAGGCTGTTTCAAGCAAACAGTTTCGCCCGTCAGCATTGAAGGAGTGGTGTATTTATTGCAGATTACGTGAATAAATGCTCCAGAATGCCACAACAGTGGAAAATCAAAACCGTTTACTTTAGTCATTGTTGTGTATGGCTCTAGATAATCCTTTTGATTATCCTGCACCCTATTAACAATAGCTATTCATTTGAATTTTTTCTGTACTTTTGGGCACTGGGGCCTTAAGTGATTGGTTGCTCCACAAGAACAACATTTAAGTGGTTTGCATACATCAAAATGATGTTCATTCTTATTTCGGAAGGATTCCTTTTTTTCGGAGACATATCTAGCTTTTCCTACAGACTGGTTATACTTTTGCGAATCTCTTGAACTTGGCTGAATTTTATTGCCCTTTTCTGACTGCGAAATATGAACAGAAGTGACTTTTTTTCGTTACTCAAGAGCGTTTGCATAGTCTTCTAATCACTCTGCTAATTTATTTGGAGACGTTATCTTCGACCATTCATCAATTAAATGACGCACTTCGAAATTTACTCGATGCTTCATTTGATTCGGTCTTATGAGATCTTTTAAAATTTCAGTAACTTTAATTTCCTTTAATAACTTTTCTTATTTTCCCTCTCAAGCCTATGATCCATTCTTCAAAATAAATCCTTAATTCAAAGACAAAATCCCTCTAAGTAGTTTGAGGGTTGTTTGGGAATTGCGTAATTTGATGCAAAGTTTTTCTGGGCTAAGTTTAAACCTTTTAAGCAGTATCCTTTTCACGTAAGCAGTATCATTTTCACTTAAGCAGTATCCCTATCACGTAAGCGTAGTCATAAGCTAGCTGCTTTGGCTCTCGCATAATCAGTTGGCTAAAGTGTCAATAAAACAGAAACCAGATCTAAACCAATCGGAAGGAGTTCCGATTGGTTTAGATTCGCACGCTTTGCTTGGCGCTCAACATGATTAGATACAAACTAATATTGTTCTCTTAGGGATCGAATTTTAGAATAATTTTTTGAAGATCGAAATTGCTTATCCTCGGCCCACTGAGCACCCGAGTAGTTTTAGAAAGCCGTCCGGCATTGCTACCACCTCTCACTTAGGCACACTTTCCTCATTCCCACCAGTTAATAGATCATTTAAGTTAGCGGTTTGCAATTTCATTTTTGCGTATTTCAAATTCCCTTTCTTCTGTTCTAATTTCATTCTGAATCTCTTCCTTTTCTCTCCTAATTCTATCCAGCCACTTTTCCTCTTCTCTCCTAATTCTATCCTGCCACACTTCCTCTTCTCCCTTAATTCTATCCTGTTCTTATTTTCCATCTCAAGCTTCATTGAAATTGTAAGGGTAACAGTTATTTTTAGTTTTGAACCGCTTTCCTTTATTCTATTGTTCCCACGTACAGTGCCAGAATGAGTTTTTAGGATTGCGTTTTATGTAAATGAGGTACAACCAGTATTTAAGGGGAAGTTTTGCTGACTTCCGGAGAAGAGCCTAGAAGTTCTTAATAGAGCGTGTTCTGCCTTCTTGCCACGTCGTTGTTTTAAGCCAAATATTATTATGTTCGGCTGTATTGTTACGTGCCTATTAGTATTCGCCCGTGAGGTTTAGGGCCCACTTTTAGTTAGCATTAGTCTGATTTCTTATTTTCTGTCTTAAGTTAAAACCCAAGTAGAGGCTTCCTGTAAGCTCGAGAGAGGCCAACTGTAAATATTCTTGAATAAAAATAGATATTTTAACCCGTCCTTGGATATGTTATTACAACGTTTAGTAGTCAGCGAATAATCATTACATGCTTCTCAGGTATTCTATCTGCCAAGACAAAAAAATTAAACTTGAATCTTACATTGGCGCCCGAATAAATTTACGAGCCATGTGTCTGGAATTCGAAAAGTTCACATTGGCCGCTCCTAAACTGCGAATTCTACCAGCACCAGAGAACTCGATGGAAGAGTTCGGATTCATCATCAAGACTATGCGGGCTGCGATGAAACCAGCTGCTACCTTCGATGGAAAATGTTCCGTGATGCCCTTCCTGGAGCAGTTGGAACTCCACTTCTCATTACGTTCTGTTCCGCAACTACAAGAAGGCACGATCTCCACTGCGAACTTAAAAAGACCAAGCACTAAATTGGTTGCCTGGAAAGTTTCTGCTGGGTGAACCAGGTTCCGAAACATATAGCTGGGAGACAAAAACGCTTTGCTAAACACGTTCTCTGTAGTAAAGGACCTCACCAAGCTGGAAGCTGAGCTCTTCAGTAAATACCAAACAAAGGTGGAAGAATGAACGGGCTTCATTCTATGTAAAATTCAAATATTCAGTTTATTGTACGGCAAGACAGTCATCGGGTTAATAGAGGTAATTTTACCGCGTCTGCTTCCTCCATCCGGGATTACAGGGAAGTAGGAAATCCAAATACGCTTGAAAACCTATTTCAACTTTCCATGAAATTTGAAAACCGACGAGCCTCGGAGAAAACGCGTACGGCTAGTTTCTTTTATCAAAAACCAGTACTTCAGATTATCACCCTAACCAAAACCTCAGACAGACATTATCCTTATAGGCATTGTAATACGACGGCGAAAAGCGGTAACAAATATACGGGACCAAAAAAGGAAAGCATTCGCCATAAGAAAAACAAGGGTATCCTAGAAGAGGGTCCGGTCAGCTTTCCCCTACTGAGGCAAAATCCCTCAGTATTTGCTGATTACTGCAGTTGTGCAAACTTTGCCTTTGCCCGAGATTCAAATTTTGCTAAATATCATTCAAAACATGCATTATTCGACACCAAGACGCAGAGCTTTTTTTTTTTTTTTTTTTTTTTTTTTTTTTTTTTTTTTTTTTTTTTTAGAAAGCATTTTAGAAGGTACCGATTATTTAAACTTTTCAGACAGAAATAATCACAGCAAAGGGGACACGTTCAAATTAAGGACGAGCATCAGCAAGTCACTTTTCTCGTCGTTAAAAGATTTATTAGCACCGGTAATTCTGAGGGTTGACATCTTACATGCGGCAGACGGGAACTTAAATTTGTTGTGAATTAATCAAAAACGACTTCGGATGTTGTTAATTGTGTATAAGAGAGCACTGACCAACTACTATAGAAATTACATTACTTTAATCTGGAGAAAACGAACTATGGTAAACTTTCTTTCATAAAAAGTTTAAAATAATTCTCAAATAATTTGACTTAAAGTGCTTTCGTTTGTTAAATATGTAATAATTCACATATAACGATAAACTAATCACAGCTTTCGTTTTATTATGTGCAAGGTTTTTGTTATACATTTCTAAGTATACAGAAACAATATTGTTACAAACTTAGCTGTGCCTACCAGCGGCCGAGCGGTAAAGTCGCTGAACACTGGTAGTTCGGTCCAAGGCTCGAATCCCGCGAACGGGCTGGCTGCATGGGCGTTTTCGTGGTTTTCCCCATGTGTAACTTGTATACGAACCAGTTTCCCTAAGAAAGTCCTCCACGAAGGCATCCCTCCCTTTAGGCAGGTAGCCCATAATAGCTTTGCCATAATCACATACACACAAACTTAGCTATTAAGACACAATAACACGCCAAACAAAACTTAGCTATGTTGAAATTAGTACAGAACAATAGGATAAACGTTAATATTATTTCGTGTGATACACTATCTCATTGCACTTCAAGTGAAAATACAGTTTCGAGGAAGCAGCGTGTTTTTACTTCAAAAAGAATGGCATTATTATCTGAAAAAAGAATATGTAACAAATTTTCTATTTAATGCATATTTGCGATTTAACTCTTAATGTGAATGTCGGTTAATATTCTTATGTATACTTTGCAAAATCACAGCTGTATACATGTTTATAATCATTTGGCAGATGTGTCACAACAATGTTAATAAAAAGCAATTACTAATATGATATTTTCCAATACGTCAATCGTAGTGAGTGGCAAAATCGTTTTATGGTGATCAGGCATATAGGATGTAATAAATGCTTTTTCCAGCTCACAAAATATGATTGGTGAATTGCACTTGCTTTGAATCCAAAGAAGTAGTAACGTAAGACGCGCAAAACATTCAATTATATATGCAATAAAAACAGCCTGAGAATATGAATAAATAATAATATTAAATATATTTTTTAATAATCTTCTGTACAGAAGGTCAAATTAATCTCAAACCATGGATGATGGTCATCTTAGAAAAAAGTTAGCATTATGCTTTTTAATGAATAAGTCTATTAATTTATGATGATACTTTTACAAAATATTTTCATTATTGAAGTATAATGAAAATAGCAAGGTGTATTCACTTACTTATAATTGTTTTATTAGATATTTAAAAAATAATTATTTCAAGAAGTTTCTGATAAATTACCGTGTCAGGAAAGCCACCTTCAGGAATAGTGTTGTCACCTGTTACAGTGAACCATCCTGCAATATTTAAAACTGTTTCTTCTAAGTCTGAGAGCCCGCCAGTGGCTGAGCGGTAAAGTCACTGAACACTGGTAGTTCGGTCCGAGGTTCGAATCCTGCAAACGGGCTGGCTGCACGGGCGCTTTCCTGGTTTTCCCCATGTGTAACGTGTATACGAACCAGTTTCCCTTAGAAAGTCCTCCACGAAGGCATCCTTCCCCTTAGGCAGATAGCCCTAGTGTTCTTTGCCGTAATCTCAATAAACCAAACTAAATTAAATTATTAAGAATTATTTGGCGCAAAAAAATGATGTGACGTTCTTCCCTTGATCAACGGAGCTGTCATCTCGTTACTCCGCTGTGTTTGTGTATGTTTTTACGGCAAGATGTCCGAATCAGATGATTTTTTTAAAGATGAAACTTTCCTATTAAGTACAATCAATCATTAAGCAGAGGTAAAAACGGCTAGAATGGGTCCAAAAGATTTATTTAGAGCGACCTGTTTAAGAAAATTTATTTCCTTTGCTGCCTCGTTTGGGAAATGAATATCCTGAATCATTTTAATTACTTCAGGATGAGTATCGACCAGTTTGACAGACTTGCCGCTTCTATATTGTATGAAAATTAAAATTTGTAAAATTGGTTTGGAATGCAGTATATAAAAAGGAAAAAGTAATTTGGACAAAATAGTCCGGTTTTATTTGCACCAGATTTATTCTAAGAAATTTATTGTGCAGGCCCATACCAACTTATATGGTGCAGGTATTGTGCTGTCTCAAATTGAAGATGGAGAAGAACATCCTATACTCTATCTTAGTCAAACGTTTTTTTAAAGCTGAGCGTAACTATAGCACCATTGAAAGTGGGCTAGCGGTCATTATTTACGGACTAGTGAAATTAAAGCATTATTTAGATGGACAAAAATTTTAAATCCAGACGGATCATAGTAAAACACCTTCTGAAATAAAAGCATGGGATCAAATTCTCGTTTGACTCGTTGGGCATTGTGTCTCCAGCAGTACAATTTCGAAATTTCATAGGCCAGGCAAATTACACGGCAATGCGGATGGATTGAGTCATGCCTTAGTCTAGTGGTTGATAGAATGTCACTGTAAAAAATTTTCCCTAATGTACTGAAAATTAATTAAGGAAAATAATATTTGTTAAGTAATTTTTGGTAGTGTTCTGGCATTATATGTTGGTATCGTGTTTTTTTTTTTTTTTTAATTGTTAGAATCAAATGTTCTTATACAAATTTATTAGCATTTTGTAAAATTTGGAGAAGGCTCAGTTTTGAAGTGGAAATTAAGAATTCTTAGTCTCCAAAAACTGAGTAATGTACTTTATTTCAGGCAGACAATAGCAATAGTTTAAATCTTCTTTGCTGTATGTTTTCTGTCTTAAGAGGATATAATCTAAGAATAAGTGGAGAAAAGTAACAGGCTACTCTGTTATCACTTGAATGATTAACTTTTGTTCTGGAAGCAGTGACAAAGCACAGAGAATTTTCCCTTCCGTAGTCTAGGAAAATTCTTCTATGAAGATATTAGTTGTGACAAGGTCGCATAGACGTTCTTTGTCTGGTTTTGTCCTGGGGGATAGAATTCTGAATGTAATGGTGCTTCCTTCATACCGGAGGAGAAATCCTGGTCCAACGAGGTCCTATTGTTAATTATTCTGGTTTCCTCCTCCAAGGTTACTCCAACTGTTCCAGGGATAAAGAAGTCTTTCCCCGGAATCGAAATGTGGACACCATTGTTTTATACCAATGGAGGAATTCTCCCCTCATTTATTCAGTGGAGATGAGTTAGTAAAGATTCTGCAGGGAGAAAGGAAGTTGGTTTCTGACAACAGCAGCTGCTGCTAGGACCTTCCTGCTGGGGCTAAGGGCATTTTTGCCCTCTAGAACTATGACTTATCGTGTGTGCTGTTGATCGAGCACATTCCTGTTTAACAAAATTCTTGAATTACGGACTGAATGTATCGAAGTTCTCCATTATCATGAACCGCACCTGTTAAAGTTTTTTTTTTTTTTTATTAAAATTCATATTATTGTTAGAACTTGATCCAGAATTCATTCTAACCCTGTATTACAACAGGGGCTTTGGGTAGCGGATTCGGCTACTACTCCATAGAAGCATATCAACTTCCAGTAACAAAAATTGCAGCTTTAATCTTTGTAAATAAAAGTAACTATTGATTACTGTCATAAAATGTTTTTCATATGGGCTTCATGTATTCATATAGCTATGTATTGTTTTCTAAATGATATGGCATCAATGTAAAGGTATATGATTTTGTAAAACCCGTTGTAACTTGAAAATGTTTAATGATTTAAATATTCAGTTTCACTGTTGTAATGCCCATTCCTAGTGGTTTTGGAGTCTTGCCAAGTTTTGTAACAAGATTTCATAACAATATATGTATATGCAATGTTTTGGTCTATTTTTATATGCATAAAATTAAATACTACTCTGGTTAATGAAAGGAGCGATTCTGATGAAAACTGATAATTTGAAATGCAAATAAATAAGAACTAAGTTTTTAACATTAATGATGAGCTTTCAATTTAAAACTGAATTTTGAATAAAAGTGATGAGCTTTGAATGTTCCTCTGAAGCTGAAGAGTCTTGTATCCTCTGAAACATTTTCCTCAAATAAATTTCATGGTTAAAAAGCGCTAATATTATCTCCAACCAGTTATAGTTGAGAAAGTATTACAAGATTTTCCATTACAGGTATAGTAAAAGTCATGTCATCAAATTTGCAACTAATCTGTAATTTATTTTTTTGTTTTCAGCTACTATGAATGTTACAATTTATTTTGGTAATCAAAATATTTCTTTGGTATGACACAGCTCATATCATCAGTGTTACAAAATTAGTATTTTAATACAAGCCGTTATTTCAGTGCGAAAGTATTTATGTCTGGAGACTTGATTCCCATATTTTTGTGCAAAACATTGCAATATGGAGAAGCTGATACCCTAAATTTTGATTAATATAATATATTCTTGTGGTGTTTGATTGTAATAGCATCAATGCTTCCATTTACAGTTATTACAAGTTGAAGTTCATGTAATATAATTAATTAACGGGCTTGCCACCTTATAGGTCAAAAGAATTGTGGATACTACTACTTACCTATAATTTACTGTTTCATTTGCAACTAGTAATTTTAATACTGATTTTAGCAAATACTATTAGCACACTGATATTTTTACTAACTTAATTATCAACTTTATAACATTTCCTTATTGAACAATGTAATATATTACATGTAGTAAAATGCAAAGAATAATATTAGGCTATTTATTGATTTCATAGAGTTCTATGTTTAATAAAAAAAACTAATTTATTGTATGAGTCTGAGCTTGATATGCATTATAGTCCGAGCTTGGACACATTTATTTTTTACTATGTTTTATTATGTAATTTCAAGAAACGTCAAACTAACTAATTCTTTCTAAAAGAGTATTGTCAAATATTACTATATTTTAATACAAAAACCTAACGTCTCATGTGAAAGTGGTACTTGATAAGTGAACACTTCTTTTATTGAAAACATATAGTTTTTCAAAAGCAGAGGTTCCCAAATTCTTTGCCCATACACCACTTGCTGATTTTTTTCTGTTTTTCGTAGACCTCTTCCTAGAGGTTCGTTCCAAAACTAGTTAGCTAGTATAATACTTATACTCGAGCATTACAAATCGTAATGAAACAGAGCATCAAGATTCACCTAAGATGTTCCAGAACGCTCAGGTTAAAGCAAAATGTACGTAAATGTCAGTGACAAATGCTACTCTTAGGTGAAATTTTACATTGGCTGCTTTGTTTTGGAACGTTACCCTAATACTGAATTTTAAAAAATTCATCAACTTCAAATGTGTTTTTGACACAGAGCTACTCACTTTGAGAGAGTGAAGAAACCTCAGATCACCTCGGCCAGTTATTTCCAAACAGTTCTTTTTTCTTTTTTGGGGGGAGGGGATACGAAGATTGGAAATCGTGCTGAAACCCCTTTCCACGAGATATGAAGATAGAAAAACTAAAAATTGTCAAAACCTTTCTTGCGATAGACTGTAATGCAGGATCAGTGATAGGTATGTCTTTCAGAAGCCATAGTTGCTTCTCTGCCTTTTTAAACTGCATCTAAAGTTCTTCATTGGTGCTTACTTCGATCAGTTTTTGTAACGTGACATTTCTAGGGACTGAAAAATCCACTGTGGTATTTCCATAATCAAAACATTCTCCAAACTGTTTTCAAAGTCTGCATGAAGGCCATTTAAATGTTGAACGCAAGCCGAAACGTCACCATCCTGCAAGTTTTTCTGTGACAAATTGAAAAACTGGAAAAATTCCAGCCGTCCAGTCTTTTGCTTCGTTAGGTTAATTCTAGCAAGAAAAGCTCAATGATGGAATTGATTTTTATTAATTTACATTGTCGCCTTATAACTGCAAGTGAAACTCATTAAATTTAGTAAAGAAATATGTTAAATTACCAATGTCTGGTTTCCATTTGATTAACTTTTCTTTTAAAATAGGATCTTTAGCATCCAAATACTCTAGTCTCAAAGAAAAAAAAATCTCGTCAAACATAAGCAGCCAGCATATTTCAATGTGAAGGAGTAACCGATGGAACTTCTCGTCATTTCCTTCCCTAAGTTACGCAAATAACCTAGAATTCTAAAGCATTGCTCAAAATTTTATTTACTGCGTTTAGTACGAAGTTAAAATATTGATGGAATCTCCTTCTCAGATACTATTTAGCAACTAAATGTTGTCGATGGATCACGCAGTGAATTTTAGACACTTCGGGTACATTTAGTTTTAATAGGCTTATAAGACCACGAGAGTATATAAAAATGGCAAGGGCTCCATCTGCTACAGATCATATTATATTTGGTAAAGGGAAGACTTTTTCTAAGAAACAACCTCTCAAAAAATTTATTATTCCTTCGCCATTAGTGTTGTCAAAGTTCTAGCAAAGAGCAGTTCATGGATTAATTGGTCCATAAT